AAAATAAATCTCCATCTCGTCTCCTTTATTATTCACCTGATCGATGGGATCATTGATCAGCTGAACATCTGTTGGGTCACACCTGCTGCCTCATTTACAACCTCCTCATTCATTATCACACAACATCGCATATTGATCACACATTGACAAGCTTCCTGCTCCTTTTCCAGTCAAATTCAAGCACTTTCAAGGTGCATTGTCAGGCTTTTCCAGCACCTAACATCAACAACTCATGTGGTGAACTACATCTTAATATATGGTATATGTATATATGTGCATGACACTGATGAGCACTTCTACGTCACATTACATTTTGTGATGTGATGCATTCTGCAGAAATGTGACTAATTAAAAAGATATCTTGGAGACGTGTCACCAGTTTTTTACACCATTAAACTAAACTATCTAACCTACATTTTAAGCATGTTTTCAAAATAAAAGCACTTCGCTACAGTGGCTGAAAATCCTTGAAATACTTAATTTTTCATGTGGTGTTTTTAAGATTTTCCAGCATTGCACAGCCGTGGCCAATCACATCTTTATATACAGTATAAGTATATGTGTGCATGATGCTAAATGGCACTTAAACATGACATTTAATTGGCTGTTTTTGTATAATAAGCAATAGATATTGTGTGAGGCGACAAACTAAAAGGAAATCTTCCTAATGTGTCACCTGTTAGCACAGTATGTACGCTAAGCATCCTATATTACTTGACTTTCAAGTGGTTTTAAAGGGCCCATGTCATGCTTTTCCGGTTATTACCCGTCCCCTTGTGTGTTATGTATCTGTTTCTGCATGTAAACGGTCTGCAGAGTCACAAACCCTCAAAGTACACCCTGTAGCGAGTAAAACTCTAACACAGAAAAGACCTGTCTATGCTGCCCCAGAACGCCTCGTTGGAGATTTTTCTCCAAATGGACCAATCAGCGGAGCACCTCACACACCAAGGTCCCTTGGCTAACTAACAGGGAGTCCCCATTGACTTGCATAGAGCTCTCTGAACGCTGGTAATAGACGAGTTGGGATGGCGGAGAAATGCTCTCCGCAGACCCATTCTCACAGCGTTATAAACCTTTTTCTTACTCAATATCAAGCCACACTTATTGTTTTTACTTCGGCTGTAAGTGTTTGTGTGTGCTCAGGATGAGTTTCGCTTGTTCTCGCTGTATCGCCGACCCGGAAACCTGTCCGCTCCTCGCAGCAGTTAGCAGCAACGAGCCTTGCAACGTCCCGACCAATCAGAGCACACTGGGCTCACGGGGGGGGGGGGCAGGAGCTCCAACAAGCCGTTTAGGACAGAGAGTGAATACACATACTACACAGAGATGCTGTATGAGAAACCAATGTGAGTTTGGAACATTGAACAATATAAATCTATTCTAGTAGACCTCAACAATGGAAATATGATCAGTAGAAATGGCCATGACATGGGACCTTTAAGCATTTTTCTACGTGTGCTGGGAAGCCTTGAAAACACTCAATGATTTCCAGCCCCTTACATCTGTGGCAACTCACATCTTATATACAGAATATGTACGCATGATGCTAAATAGCACTTCTACATAACATGCAACTTGATGTTTTTGTGCTATAAACACAAATTATGTTTCGTGATTTGATTCTGCAGAAAGGTGACAAAGTGAAAGAAAAACACTACAAAGTTTAAACATTGTGTCACCTGTTTTAAGTACTCTTAGCATCTTGTAAAAACTTAATGTGAAGCCCTTTCTGAGCACTTTATTTGCAAAACTAAGCCATGTTTACCAGAAACTTGAAATCCTAGTAAACATTTAACGTGGTCTTTTCATGGATTTCCTGCACCTCACATCTGTGGGAAACTACATCTTAATATACAGTACATGCATGATGCGTAACAGCCCTTATGCATCACATTAAAGCAGATGTTTTCCTGCTATACGCAACACAAATTATATTTAATTAACGCATTCTGACAAAAGGAAAATCTTCTAAATGTATCACCGGTTTTAAGTACAAGAAGCATCCTATAAAACGTACATTTCAAGCTGTTTTAATAAACAATCCACGCTCTTTCCAGCACCTCACAGCTGCCGCAAATTACAATCTGTACACAGTATACGTATTGCACTGATTCTTCATCGCCTTAACTGAAAGGTTTTTGTGCTGAAAACAACACACATTATCTGCAGAAAGGTGACTTGGCATCCTATAAAACCTACATTTTAAGCAGTTTTTGTGCCGTTATTCTAAATCAAAGCGCTTTTCTTCAGTGGCTGGAAATCCATGTAAACATTTTGATCTTAAAGTGGAGTTTCTTTTAAGGATTTCAGCTCATGTTTCATAGATTTGCCTGAATTGATTGCGTACAGACGAGCATGTAGTTGTGTTTCTCAAATATCTACATTGATCCGTTATCATCTCTGATTACAACGCTTTAAAATCGATGTTCATTGTAGTAGTTTGGTACATTATAGTGTATTATAATATATTTCTTGATGCTTTATAGTGAGTATTCTGATTTCAAGATATATCCTTCTACTGTTGATATGTATTTACTGCAAAATGAAATGTGGTGTTTTAAAGGATGTCCAGCTCCACTAATATCCATGGACTGATCGACTAAACACTGTGCAATTTGTTTATCAGATCGCCGACTACACCCAGAGAAGTTCTTCAGACATTAAGCATAGCTATACGTCTTTCTACTGTTTATATCTGTCTAATTACTCCTGTGCAAAGCCTGATAACATTACATTACATGTCACTTGTTAGACGCTTTTATCCAAAGCGACTTACATACTCAATACAGTGGGCAATCTCCACAGGAGCAATTTTGGGGTGAAGTGTCTCAGGGACACAACGACATGCTGACTGCAGTGGGGTTTGAACCTGCTATCCTCTAATTCGAAGATTAGCGCACTAACTAGCACACTAGCTCACTGAGCCATCCTCCCTGTTAACCTGCTGCTGCTGTAAGAATTGCCAATTTAGGATCATTTAAGTACGTCTTAGTCCGAGTAATCGTAGTGTTTTTGTGGTACAATACTTATTGCAGTAGCTTGGTATATTATAAGGTATTCTAACCTGTATTATATAACGAGTATGCCATACATTCTCTATTTAGATATAGGTCTTTCTCGTGACAACCTTTGTATTTTTAATGCATATTTTCTACTTCTGTGCAACGCCTGATAACCTGCTGCTGCTGTAACAACAATTTCTCAACTAGGGTTCATTAAAGTACGTCTTAGTCTTAGAAATCTCAGTGTTTCTGCATGTGCTGTTTTTACAGAACAATCCAAGTCAAGTTTAACGTAGCAGCTTGGTATACTGTTGTGTGTATTCTAACTTATTTCAAACGTATTATTTATATTGGGAAAGATACGTCTTCTGTGTCGATAAGTGTATGTTTACTGCCAAATGTAAAGTGGTGTTTTCAAGGGTTTCCAGCACCAATAATGAACCTTGGAGTCATCGACTGAATATCGTGCATTTTGTTTATTCGGGCTGTTGAATCACGTCTCTATTTATCTCACTGCTGACTGTGAAGTTATCCTGCAGGGGGATTTCATTCTCATTTCATTGTACTCTGACTTCTGTCTTTCTGTTGAGATAGTGAGCTCCAGATATCCTATATGTTCTGGTGTTATGCATAGAGTATTTGTAATGCATTTGGGAGCACAACAGTATCTTAGTCTCAGACTGTTTTCTCTTTAAATTATTTTAAATATTTTCTGTAGTAGGTTGATATACCGTTTTAATGTCTATTCTTACTTATTTTCTTATGTTTGAGTGTTATATAGATACATTTTATACAACTTTCTAGTGTTGATATGTACTGTATATAAGATAAGATATACTTTATTGATCCAATTAAGGTAATGTTTTCGTCACAGCTGCATGTAAACAAGGCGTTGCAAACAAAGTGGAAATGAAACGGAGTACTAAATAACAGACAAACATCTCAAAATAAAAATAAAACAGAACTTAAAAGTAAAATCCATAATGACAGTGAGAGATATATATGAGAACTATCTGTCAAATATACATATTTACTGTATCTGTCTATCTGTTTATTGATCATGTGATCACACTGATTGATTCCTGATTGCAGCTGCTGTCATCAGGTGATGAATCTGAATGAAATGTGATTCAAGCATCATCCAGGTGAGCATCGGATCATAAATCACACAGCTCTCAGAATGATAATCCTCACAGCCCTGAGTGTGTGTGTGTTAGTGATCATATGTGTGTGTGTGTGTGTGATCATCTGCATCGATCCTAGAATCTGAGGATGATCTATAACCTGTCGAAGGATCGATCCCGGCACAGAGGATGGAGCTCCGAGCAGCACATGGACGGAGAGGGGAGGCTTTAAGGCGGATTCAGGAAAACACAAATGTGGGTTTTGCTTTTTGGGGGGCAGTGAGTGTTCGGTGTGTGTCCGCGCGGCACCGGGCGACGTGTGCACAGGTTTTCCAGCGTTTCAGCTGCGATTTAAAACGTTTTTCTGCTGCCTCCCCCCTTTGTTCTTCTTTAATGGATCGGCGTCTGGAGCCTCGCTACCTCCCAGATCCCCCCCCCCCTTCTCTCTCTCTCCTCCTCCCCCACTCTCCCCCCTTTCCAACCACACGTAGAAAAAACACACACATTTGCAGCCTCTTTTACGCACCGATTTGTACCGTTTAAAATGGACGAGCTCCTCGGTGCACGGACCGAGGGCGAGCATGCCTGCATAATCCCCCTGAGGGAAAAGCAACCCCTACACCTGGGGGGAAAAACCCCCACCCGGTCCCCGTTGCTCAACCCCCCACTCACTGCGTGGGAAAACGGAGGAAAAGGGGAGATTTCCACGCGTAAAAAAACACCAAGCATGAGCAGCAGATGAGCGGTGATGCAGCGGGGAGGCGAGGCGTTTTCCCCCCAAACATCCACACACATACACCCCCTTCAACAACTCCAACACCCGGGACCTGGAGAACCTCCCATACCCAGAAACCTCCACACACTCTCTTACCTGAAGGGAAAGGCGCAGAAAAGTCCAATCAGTAATTTAAATCCACAGCTCCTTCTTGCTTTTTATTTATTTCTTCTTCTCCTCACATACACCTGGGGTAGGGGGAGGGGGGTCAGGTGATGGCAGCAGGAGGGGTCCGCTCAGGTAACAATGTCATGCGGTAAAAAGTGAAAGAGTAATCCGGAGAAGAGAGATCAGAGAGCGGACAGGAGCGGCGCTTCTCCCCCGGTCACACACAGCCTTGCTCGGCTTGGATCCTATCGGTCTGTCGCTCCTCCAACACAGCCAGTCCCCCATCTGGACCGTACCACTGCACCCCGAGGGGGGGGGGGGGGGGGGGACAATTAGAGGAGGACTATAACAACAATTCTATATTAAATCATGGGGTTTTCCACGGATCAAACATAACATAAGATAAGATAATATCTACTTTAATTATCTCATTTTTTCAGTTACAGCAGCATGTCAAAACGAAGCATGGCACATCTTTTTAAAAGATAAAGCAGAAGTAAAAAGTTAAATATATACAAGTTGGCCGTGAAAGATCAAATCTGTAGACTATCTGTGCAAATAACACTAAGGAGGGCATCCTCAATAACCTACATCTCAAGCAGATTTTATCATGTTTTTCAAAATAAAAACACTTTTCCATGATTTCTGCAAATCCTTTCTTTATAAAGAGTTTACATATGTATGCGTGATACTTATTAGCACTTGTACATCACATTTAATTCTGTATTTTGTGCTAAAAACAACTTTGTTTTGTGACAGCTTTCTGCAGAAGGTTGCTGTGTCACCTGTTTGTATGTACACTTATCCTCCTATAACACTACATGTCAAGCCTTTCCTGAGCCCTTGATTTGCAATAATTTAATCAACAACAATCAAACAACATTCAAGAGAAGTAAGAGTTGTTTTAATCTAAGTAAAGTAGGACTAAAGTCGGAGTTTACACATGTAGAATAAACTGTTGCACCCCTAAAATAACGCGTGTGATGGTTCAGTCCAGCTCTTAATCTGCTGTTTTTCTCCTCCCAAAGCCAGATGTGGAGAGAGACCCAGACCCACAATGACAGAGAGAGAGAAACACATAGACAGAGGAGTGATGTATGTATAAATATATATAGAAGGAGATGTAACGATAGAAGGGGGGGGGGGAGGTGCATGGAAATAGAAATAAAAGATGGAGGAGTAGAGAAAAATGGAAATGGATGAAATAAGAAAATGTGGAGAGGGAGAGAACAGGAATTATTTTCTTGCAAGAAATGAGAGAAAATATGCTGAAGGAACCACAGAGTCAGGAGGAACAGCTGATACAGAGTGACGTATGTAGAGGTAAATGACAATAGGTGAGGAAATGAGACTTTTGAAGAGAATAAAGCTCAATATAAAAGTTGTTTTTCAGAGAGGGAGGGAGTGAAAGAGGCACAAAACAAACACAATGACTTTATTTACAGAAGAAAAAGTCTGAATACACTGAATAAGATACTGATCAACAATCGAATAGACAGAAGGAAATAGATTTTCAAATATATGAGGAAGACAGATCTCTAGAGACAGAGAGGAAAAGATGTAAAGAAATGAATATAATATGGTAATACGAGGGAGGCGTGTGGCGCAGTGGGTTGTGCGCTGGTGTTCGGATCAGATGGTCACAGGTTCAAACCCCACTGCAGTCAGCATGTCGTTGTGTCCCTGAGACACTTCACCCCAAATTGTTCCTGTGGGGATTGCCCACAGTATTGAGTATGTAAGTCGCTTTGGATAAAAGCGTCTAACAAGTGACATGTCATGACATAACAATTTAATCTACTTCCTGTCCGTAAATAAAAGAAAAAGCTGCACAAAGCGAGTTCTTCAAATATCTGTCCATCTTTTTTCATCTCTTCAGGTACAGTCACAATTCACCAGAGGAAGCATCACAGATTTTGCAGCTGTCAATACAAATACCTTTTTATAGACAGCTGCAAAAAATATATTTTAAGCATGCTGAAAAGAAATATAGAGACCCTGCACACATGACCTCTTTGCTGTCGTTTAATGTTCTTTATTATCTGATTAAATGGATATTTATTTGCACCTGTGGCCTGACTTTACATCTCAAGCTATATTTCACTTCATATGGCGCTCTTACTTTAACTGTCTCTACGTTTATTCGTACAATGAGCACAATAACCAATATACCCAAAAATAGTACATCTGACATTTTTAAGTATATTCGTGTCCAATGTATCTTGCATTGTTATGTCATTACATGTCATTTGTTAGACGCTTTTATCCAAAGTGACTTACACATTCAATACTGTGGACAATCCCCACAGGAGCAATTTGGGGTGAAGTGTCTCAGGGACACAACGACATGCTGACTGCAGTGGGGCTCGAACTTGCTATCCCCTTATTCAAAGTTCAGCGCACTAAGTTCAGCGCACTAGCCCACTGAGCCTCAGCCCTATGTAAATACACTTATTAGTAGTCCAAGAAAATCAGATTCCTATCATATTTATGAATGTGTCATCCGTAAGTACTTTCACATGCTTAGAGAGAAAAGTGAATTCATGTTTTTGACCATGGTTTACTTATTTGTTTTTATTTGTTTTAATGTGTGCTTGCCTTTTCATATAATATGTCCTCTTTTTACTACAACTTTAACTAATGACTTTAATCTGCATTGTACCTTTGCTGCTGTAACCACATAAACTTCCCCCGCAGTACGGTGACTCAAGGTTTGTTTAGATTCTGAAATTGTGAAATGTTCTCGATAAAACATTAACTTGATATCTTAACAGTACACTTTAGGTCTCGAAAAGTAGAGTAAAATAAGTACATTGTTCCTACTTGGTGGTCAGGGAAGTTGTAAAAGATGTTCACAGTTACTCACCTCTTTAAGAACGCCAGTAAAACACACAGTACATGAAAACACGATGCATGTGTGCGATGATAGATTAGTCACATCCTGAAACCTGATGAGTCAGAGCTGCTGCGGATACAGCTTTATGAGAGAGACAATGAGACAGAGAGTGAGACAGGTAGCCAGGTAGAGGTTAGTCAGACAGACAGGAAGTGGATGTAGACGCTGATTACAGGTCGAAGGTCGAGTACATAGGTGGCTAGAAATGTGGATTTGCATTTTGAGGAGAACTCTCTTTACCTGAAAATGATTATATTAGTCGGTTGAAAATCCAGCAGCAGATTTATTTACCTTGTCTATCTGCTGCAATGCATGCTGGTCTTTTCCCTGCTACAGATCATCAGAGAGAGTCCCATTAGTTTCTCTTTCTTTAGTGCCCATGTAAGATGTTTACTGTTGGGTAGAGAGGTTCATTTGCTCTGGCTAATTAGCAGCGACTGTCATTTTTCAGGTCGCTGCCACCTCTCTCACCTCCAAACAGTCGGACAAACTCTGCAGGAAGTGTGTGAGATCCTCCGCCTCCGACTCTAACACCGACAATGGCACCGTGGGAATTGAATCAAAGGAAATAGTAAGCAAGGTCACAGAGAGGTCAGACAGAAGAACAATAACCAGCATTATTAGTGAGCTCAATAAATAACTCTTTGTATGACGGTAAAGGGTTAAATACAGACCCAGTGGCGAATTCATTACCACTAAGGAACAAATGAGCTGCAAACTTAATGCATTCTTGACCGAACACTCCCAAGAAAATACACTTTAAACTCACTCCTGACTTTTACTAAAAACTCACTACTGACTTTACTAAAAACTCACTACTGACTTTTACTAAAAACTCACTTTAGACTTGACTAAAAACTCACTTTAGACTTGACTAAAAACTCACTACTGACTTTACTATAAACTCACTCCTGACTTTTACTAAAAACTCACTTTAGACTTGACTAAAAACTCACTTTAGACTTGACTAAAAACTCACTACTGACTTTACTATAAACTCACTCCTGACTTTACTAAAAACTCACTTTAGACTTGACTAAAAACTCACTACTGACTTTACTAAAAACTCACTACTGACTTTACTAAAAACTCACTACTGACTTTACTAAAAACTCACTTTAGACTTGACTAAAAACTCACTTTAGACTTGACTAAAAACTCACTACTGACTTTACTAAAAACTCACTACAGACTTTACTAAAAACTCACTTTAGACTTGACTAAAAACTCACTACAGACTTTACTAAAAACTCACTTTAGACTTGACTAAAAACTCACTACTGACTTTACTAAAAACTCACTACTGACTTTACTAAAAACTCACTACTGACTTTACTAAAAACTCACTTTAGACTTTACTAAAAACTCACTACTGACTTTACTAAAAACTCACTACAGACTTTACTAAAAACTCACTTTAGACTTGACTAAAAACTCACTACTGACTTTACTATAAACTCACTGCAGACTTTACTAAAAACTCACTGCAAATTCACCGCAACCTTTACCTTAAACTCATTACAAAGTTAACTTTAAACTTTACTGTAAACTAATCTTCTAACTTTACCGTAAACTCACTAGAAACGTAACAAATCTTACTGCCAACCAGTGGCGGCGCCAGGGTATGGCTGGGGTAGGCTACAGCCATACCCTGAAATGGCTTAGCCCCACCTTAGCCCCACCATGAAAAGTGATGCAAATTCAATTAAATAATAAGCAAAATGCTAAATGTTGAGAACACGGATTGCGAAAATATACGGGTCGTGTCCACAGCACACAAACTGATCCTGCTGTAACAACAAGTGCACGTTACTGATGCAATATGGTTGAGACCATTCGGGCTTATGCTATAAGAGGGGTGCAAGGAATAGTCCTAAGTAGTGGGGGAGTTTTATACACTAAAGGTGTGGAAATTCTCTGTTGCGTTATAATATCAGCGCGGCCGCGGTCAGATCAAAATGCCTCCGAATGCAATTTGAATAGACCTACAGCCAATCAGAGCAACGCAACGTTGGATCTGCGTCATGCCTTATTGATTGAGATCAATCGAAACCGCCATTCAGTATCCCCATTGGATCTTCAACGTGTACTATCATACGTCACGTTCACAGTGATCCCTTTTATTTACTACAAGACAAATGTGCCGTTTTATTTCATACAGTTCCATTTTGATTGAGACAGGGAAATAATCTAAACCTCACGCGTGGCGTTTCACTGTCAAGGGGGGCGATATAGCGTGTATGTAATTACATTGCAAATACTGACTTGAGCCCCACCACAGTATGGGTTAGCCCTACCATAGATTACCCAACAAAAATGCTCTGGCGCCGCCACTGCTGCCAACCTA